TGTATTCAGAGTTTGACAACACCTTTTATAGAAGAAATATGCCAACTCAGTCAAATAAATAGTCAGAATCGAAGAGATTCGGTATGTCGGGAAGTGAGCGATTTGAGCTGATTAGTGGTTGTGGAAGATGTGGAGCACGACGTACCCACTAGTGATCTGGTGTAGGTGCATGGCCGAGCTAAGTGAATTTATCAAAACAAATGCATTCAGTGACAAATGTCGAAGACTCACAGAACTATTGATTTTGGGGGTTTATTTACCGCTACAGATCACTGTCTCCAAGTGGGGTGATAACCCTAAGACATGACCAGTCAGAAGTTTAAACTCAACAACTTTATCGTTGTTAGACACTCTTTTGATAGCTTGCAATGTTCGGTAGCGTCTGATCAACTGAAGAAACCACATCCAGGAGATAAAAGTATCCATTTGAATCTGGTTAGGGTCCTACTGTAGCCAGATAAACATGGTCAACGTAAGCGTCAGGAGTTCTGAAAGAGCCCAGTCATCTTAAATTTCCGAAATCCTACACAGAAGCGCGCCCACCCCATCAGAATTTTATTAATACCAGACCAGTAAGATCTTTCTGCTATGAACTTGATGGTTTTACGAATACCTAGATGACAAAGCTTGTGCAAAGTATTGAAGACGTTGTGTCGATAGTGTTCCCGCACTTTTAGACGACCATAACCTGTGGATGTGTCACAGCAAAGTTTTCTTGCCTATTCCTGTCTATTTCATACGTAGTTTCGTGGTTATTGAGGATCAATCATGCTGAAAGTCATTGCCTTATTTTGAAGCTAGGTGAGTTTAGCAAGGCCAATTTTTCGGGAACTCTATAAGGAGGTTATACAAGACAAAACGTCCGAAACTACATTGTTTGCCTCAGAAATATGTTGTATATGAGAAGTAAAATGCAAGGTTAGTATAGTTGTCGCGACACTCGAGGAGAATAAATATCTGAAGGTTAGCTTGAAGAAGAGATAAGTTGTTTGCGTTCGGTGAAAAGAGTGGTTCCTCGGAGTTCCACAGAGTGTTAAAAGTGCCGTGCAACAAGACGCATGGCTAGGAGTTCCCTACCGAAAATGCTACACCTCGATTCGATGTCTAGCAGCCGTCTCGAGAAGTATGGCAAAGGTCGTCAGTTGTGGTTTACCTATTTTGTAAGACTCCTCCGATTGCCGAGTCGGATGCGTCTACCGCGATACTAATTGGTGTGTGTGCCTTACTATGACTGAGAGTAATCTACAACGGACAAATTAGTATTTTCGTCTACTAACCTCCGTTCGAGCGTGTCGATGAGTTAATTATGATGTAGAAGACCCATACCCATGATTGGCATAGAAACATCCGCAACAACGAAGATCCAGTGAATTAGTTTGCGTAAACCCTTGTTAAGATATGCATACCGATTACCATATGTGGCGATTGCATTCCCATTTGCCGCCTGTAAGTTCAAAACTACTTTGTGCAGTCAGTCGTTAGGGTTTGCTGGAGGAACGCTAACTTCTGCGCCAGTGTCGACAGGGTGGCGAACTTTCTTAATCACATCAGTGATGTATGACAGACGGTTAAATTCACTGGCTGCGAGTGACATTCGGTTGACAGATGCGGCTAGCTCGTCTGCAGCGTCATTTCATAATGAGACAAGCACCCCCTGCACCTGTTAGAGAAGATTGGGCAAGAAAAACTGCTCAAACAAGCCTCCGCGAAAGGTCTATCGACCAGTGACCTATCGCATTCGCAACAATATGTCTGTTGCTGAGCCATGTTGTAGAAGACTTGATCTAAAGTTTGACGGTTGGTTAGATCTCCGCCATTAAGAATTGACCAATTTCGAGTTACGTAGGGTCTTGAACATCACCAGTGAACATAATAGGTCTGACGAACCTTTTGGATTCGCGTGGTAGTGCCTTCAGTTCTGCGAGGAATCGTGCAGGTGCATCGGTTACACCGTGCTCGTGGAAGTCAGCTTCTGTGTAGCAGAACCACACCTCGATGTTGTCGGGCCAAAATGGCATTAGCTGCGATCAGGGTGGCGAAGGAGTCTTGATCTTAAGCAACTTAGGAGTCTATTCGGCAATGACGAATATAAAGTATAGGAATGAATAAAAGGTAGAAAAACATCCAAAAATAGGAAAAAACATCACAATGTATAAAAATCAAATGGATGATACATAAAGTTCCATAAAGGAACAGAGTCACAGTTTACAAACAGGTGTACCAGATCACGTCGAGCTTACCACTCAAGATGCCACAGGTATTTGGAGTTTGACAACACCTTAACCAGTAACACCTTTTCTAATCGAAACGTGCCAATCCAGTGAAACCAGAATTCAGAAGCGAAGGGGTTTGAAGATATATTTGGTAGGATAATGACATATCGAGAAGGGATCAATCTATGCAGGTTAACAGTCATAAGAGATGTGTAGCACGATGTGATCACTCGTGATGTGGTGTGGATGCGTGACCAAGTACCTTCAGCCCGGTGAGTACATTAAAAGTAACGCAGTCAGCATCAAATGCCGAAGAATTACAGAGCTATGGATTTTGAGGATTTATTTACCGCTAGAAATATTTTCAAGGCAGAATTACCTAAGTTCAGTGATGGGGCGTATGAAACCTTATCTTTAACAGTGTAGACCACCAACGTAAATGATCTATGTCGAAAATGACTGCAGGCCTACTCGAGTTAGACGTGAATGGTGTGACAAACTAGCTAACATCGAAGTCACACCTCATGGTCAGCACCATACGTGTACTACCCCATTGAAATACCAAGGTACCATAGATGCTTTGAAGACTGTACAACACAGGGGACGTCGTTGTAGAAATATGTCAGTTAAAGTAGATACAAGCGAAAGTGAGACCACTGCTTCATGGGCCAGTTCATGGTACACGATTAACTTATGCGCGTTGGTTGTACATGACCTTGGCAGGGAGCGATGATCTGTTCGACATTCAGTGATCCAACTGCCGGATGATTTGGCTAGGGCTCAGTGACATTCCACTGGCCCTACAACAGTTTAGGTGCATGTTCCAACATAAAAATTTAGTTCCTAAATGGGCGAAAAGTGTTTGAGAACACAGAAATAATACTACAATACGTATAAGTATATGTAAATAATGTTACCAGGAGCAGACTCAGTTCATCGTTATGTGTACCAGGTCGCATAGTCTTACCACTAAGGACATCACGGACATTCATGGCTCGACAACGCTTTTGCTTTTGACACCGTAACCGAGAATCACCAACCTAGTTAAACAAGAAGTCAGGAATAAAGGACTTAGGAGATACATATATAGCTGAGCTGACTAGTCATTGCTATGGGTGCTTAGCAGGGCGTACCCACTTGTAATCTGTTGAGGGTGCTTGGCCGAGAGAACTCAGCTAGGATACGTTCAATAGAGTGAATTGTGTCAATATCAGTGTCGATGACTTACTAAACTAATTATTTTGAGGATTTAGTTACCGTTGCAATGTCACTAAGCCAGGAACGTTTGTACAATCAACTCTGTGGCACATTAAGCAGATAAATCGGAAAGAATACAAAGTAGCTAACTGTGAGGAAAAAATGTTCGTAAACATGTCGAGGAAACTATTCCTACTGTGACGGTATAGCAATTCACTTAATTTAAGGAACTATAACTAAAAAGTTGATGAAGCCTCCAAGTCTAGAGGTCAACTTATTCGAAATTAATACCACCCGTAAAAACAAAGTGTGGCTTATAACACGTGGCCAATCACACAAGCCCAAGAAAAATAACGATATCGGCAAAATGATACCGACAAAAATTACAAGGCTTGTTAAACAACTTATTTATTTAAACATACAAACTCAAGTGTGGTTGACGTTACTATATTGGTGAACAAATGGATCAGGAAAAAAAGATGTTCACCAACATAAACGTTTGGTTAATTCCACTGACTAGGCTAAAAGTACGATTTTCTGTAGCTTTTTATTTTGCGCATCACATGATTATTTTTCACACACAATATACCATATGCACATGCTTTGAGCACTCTTGAATAAACTCATATCACCTCACCATGCATGGCTTTATTTTCACTAATTAATATTGAATCTTTTAATGGATTTCACCTTGATAAACACTATTTTGTATCCTTTGATAAATATATACAATACTAATAACAATTTTGCATAAATTTATCATAAAAGCGACTTATGTCATATTACACTTTTTATGTTTGGTATTTACTTCAATTAGCCAAACTTAATTTGTTGCTAAGTTTTGTCAGTGCTTCAATCTTTTAAATTTCACCAAGTCTGTTAATCTTTCATTACTGATTGTAAAACATTTTATTTAAAATTCCAATGTTGTTTTTTGGTGCGAATACACTTCCTTAATTGATTACCAATTAAGCACACCGTCCGTACTAATTAACTATTTTATTCTTAACGGTACCTCTGAAATTTGTCCATTTTACAACCTACTCAGTTGATATGTTTACAATGTAGTTTCATTCTGCCAGATGAGGGCACTATCTTTTGTTAAAGTACAATATTTCTTGCGTTGTTCATGATAGATAGAAGTTGCATACACGTTTTACAAATAGCTGGGGACACTGAATGTCTGTGAACAAAACTGAAACCCCCTTTATGTGTTCAAAGACTACCTGTTCTTGCCGTTAACCTACCCTGGTAATGCTGGCTTATTATCAAGCGTTGTTTTCCACATCGTGTACCTTGTTCCCCCTTGCCTTTTCATTTGTCTAGTCGACCTTTTATTTTTTGTATACAAAGTCTTACCAAGTATATGTGTAATCAAACTGTTCGAACTGTATTGCGCGACTATATCACACTATTCTAATAACCTTCGTCTTCTCATCGCACTATCCAAACTAATTTTCTGAATACATAGAGGTATCCTGTTTGTTGAAATTAACAGAAGAAACTTCTTAGTATCCAGTTTTTCAAGATAAGTAGAATTATGAGTGCTGGACACAATACCCAGATCTGTTCAATATGTACTCTAGTAGTCATGAATGGACCATCACTCAAGTCTCCTTATGCATAAAATCAGTGCTTGTTAGAAATAAACGACCGTCTGAACACAGTTGCAGCAGACGGTCAACATTATCTGTTCTCTGATCTGGAATACCAGAATACCCACCTAAATGTCTTTCTGCTTGGTTTAACCTACCTACTTGAGCATTAAAGTCGTCTGCTAGAAGTACTATGTTCGAGCATTTAGCTTTTTGAAGAAGTTCAGAAAGCTTTCTGTAAAAGTCGCCTTTCATTTCATCCAGGTTGCGGTCAGTGGGAGCGTAGGCAGAAACGACGAAAAGGCAACGACGTGTGTCCCTATCCTTTTGAGTTCTTGCGGAACCGTTTAGCCGAACAACACATAGACGACTGTTAACGGGGATCCATTCTAACAGTGCTTGTCCCACCCTCATGCTTAGTGCTATGCCCACACCTGCTAGTCCACGAGAGCTGGCTGTCGGGTCACCAGATACACGGAGGGTGTATCTCGTTGGCTCTCCGTTTTGCGGAGGTGAGGTAAAGTGAATGACCACACTAGGATCCTGTATGCGTGTTTCAGAGACACAGCATACATCAATGGTACGAGATTCTAGGTTTCTAGCCAAAGAAGCCTGTTGACCGATTTGACATAGAGTGCGTACGTTGAAGGCTCCAGTGTGTAGTTTGGAGCGAGGTTTCAGTAGGCCTGGGACAGTGTTTTGAGCACTAAAATCGTTCGCTATGGTGACACTTGAGGGGGAAGCCGAAAGAGGAAGTTTGGCGTCGAAAGTCGATGGAGGAGGAATAATAGGAATTGAAGAGGGAGGTTGATTATAAACATAGTGGTCTTGAGTGCTGTTAGAGGTATGAGAGCGGTTTTCACTTCCCGGTTGCCCACGCCGTGGAAGGGTTTCTCTAGAGGTACCTGAAAAGGAAATTGGATTAGACGTGGTCTTAGTGACCTGACAGAGTGACTGCAGTGCCCAAGAGACTACTGAGTGAGGTCGATCACACACGACCTTTTTGATTAATTTTCGTGTTAGCTTCGTAATTGTTGAGACCGTACCGCCTGAGACGGATATCCGTGGGATAATGCGGTGTGCATTTTTAGGGTTGACATTTTCTAACCCCACCCCTCGTGGGAAGGCAGCATCGTTGTCATGCGGGTTGTCTGAAGGAAACACCTTACTGCTGTCACACCTCTGTACAGTCAGCAGTACGACTTCGCCTTCGGACCTTGGGTTTGTTGCTTTTAGTCTTACCGCTCTTCAACCGACCTGTTTGACATGGTAGGACCTTGAGGAACGGTTGTTCCAACCAGTATAGCTCGGTTGCTTCATCACGATAGGCAAGCCCGACCACCACGTCAAGGTAGCAACAACAGTCGGGTCAAGATAAGTAGGATTAGGAGTGCTGGATACAATACCAAGATCTGTTCAATATGTACTCTAGTAGTCATGAATGGACCATCACTCAAGTTAGATATGACTGTACACACTTGAAGGTATTATATTGCAATTTGAACTAGACGCGCAATAATGTACAAAGTAACCATTATTATGTACAAACATCACAACTTTTCTTACCCACCAACCAATTAAACATTGCAATCTAAACTGACAACACTTACAATTTTCTGTTGCATCCTCAGGAAACAATAATAATTGTTGCTCTATATCTGAGAAACGATGTATAAAAAACTGGGGATCAGTAAGTAACTGCGTAAATATGTTACAGTTTAGATGAATTCGATCAATCGAAGTAAGGTTTAAACATTTGGATGTGTCATTCACTTTATTCGGACAAGCATAATAACTACCACCAAATTTATTGGGTAATTTCAGACAACCGTAACGAATGCCAAAGAAAAAAGACTGCTTGCCAAACACTGTGCAAAAACATTGACTGCCCCATGGAAAATGAAACCAGTGGATATTTTTGATACGATGAGGCCGGCACACTCGATATCTTTACTTGACCTAAAATTCTCGAAGCACTTTGATGTTAGCTAGTTTAATTGTAATTAGGTCTTCCCTTCTACTATGCCAAATCAGTCGGTCATTTGGAACATAGAATCCGGCACATATCAGGTTACACATTTGATCCTTCGTAACAGTCTCCTAGCAAACTGTTTTATTGTACAAAAAGGTCTCACGAGTGAGTAACTGACATTTCCCGTGCTATAAAACATAAACTGCGTTTTAGAATGCATGGTAATGTACTGGTGTTTCTGGATACAAACTAAATAAAACGTCACAACTTCCCGACAGAATCCTCTCCTGTTTGATTGAAAATATCCAGAATTAATCGCACATTTTTTTTAATCACTTTTTACGTATCGATGATATCACATTAAATACATATGTTAACACAATTTAATCATATTTCAGACTAAACGATGAAAGTGAATTAGATTTTACAGCTTCGTCTGGGTCATCACATTAAATTGTGTGGGTGTTATCAGACTACTCTTACATTACAAGCCTAATTAACCAAATTATTCTTATGAATTACACCAACATTCCATAATCTTTTATTTGTAGAACTATTTAATTATTTTTTATAGATAACTTTATTATAAATTTCGTGTACTTGCCATGCAATAAATTTTTAACTATTAAACGACTTCATCCATTGAGCACAAACTAAATAAGCTATTTTCCCTGAAAATCAGTGTTCGAAATGAGAACTAGCTCCGAACTATCATAGAGTTTTATATGCTTTGCACGACAAAAGTACTATTTATTTCATAGCTAAACCCATAATACGTGTGGAAGACTTGAATTGTAAACCGTGCTACGAACTAGCGACCTAAATGTATTCAAAGTGAAAATTCCCTTCGATTACCAATCGACCAGTGAAGAACTCTATGGGATATTTTGAGAATATAAGTAGTATTCAAATCTATTCGAAATTTCCGGTGAATGTGACAAATGATTGTGGCGGGTTTCATTTATCAGTAAGCCTGCACGACTTGTTCCGATATTTCATCATAAAGAATACACCAGTAAGATAGATCTCACCAATCTATGTAATACCATTATTAGTAAGAAGTAACTAGGATAGGTTTTATATGTGTTCATATTCCTGGCTGAAAATTTATTGTCAGTGTATTCAGGATGCGTGTGGTACTGAACAGTGGTGAAAACAATATTTTATGGCTATTTATTCAAAATTACAAATATCTATCACAAAATTATTTTACGAGTATTACATCGCAGAACTAGTAGATGGTGGTTTTACTTTAATCAGTTTTAGTATTCTCATGTACACGACCAATGCGTTCACAAATCTCCTCGTTCAGTGTATATGCTGGATGGTATGCGATTCGTCCACTTTCTGTTATATACCTTAATCGTGGATTGGGATGAGTATCTTCCATACTTCCAATTGATGTGTATCTGTAATACAGAAAAAACGCGGTATTGTTTATTTAAAAATTGGTATAAAAGTCAATAAAAAAAAGATAGAATTTAGGCTGAAATAAAAATATTGACAACAGAGGAAAATTATAGCTAATAAAAAACTATGCCAATGGTAATTACATCATGTAATTAATCATTAATAAATCAAGGGTTAATCACTGGACCTAATCTTGGCGACTATAAAGTGTCATGTTCAAGTTTGAGAATAAAAAGTACTTCGCCGAAGTCACAAGGTAAAACTACACTTAACTCCAGATCGAATGCAAAAGCTTCGATATCAAAGAATATTATTTTCAATATATTCAGACCAAACTCGTTCTCCTTTCAAATCTTCCTGCAAAGAACATTTAGCATCTTTACAGTTACCTATACGACTAACTTCAGCGCTTCAGCTATTAAGTTGTCTAGTCCTGCTGCTTTCCCACTCCTGATTCGCCTGATGGTCATCCTGACTTATTCCATCGTTAGTGGAGTGATAGCTATAGGAAGGTCTGTAGGTTGTCCGTCAGTATCTGGTGAGTTCAACCAGGTTGATCTATTAAACAGTTCCTCGAAGTGCTTTACCTGTTGTGACTTTTAGCCCAGCTAATTATCACGCGGTTTATTCGCCAACCAGAATACGACTTATACAATCTTATCACTGCGCCAAACCAATGACGTTCGACCGGTATGAGCAGTCTAGTATCCTTATTGGTCCTTTGTACTACTAGCCCTGCCAGTTGAGTCCAAAACACCAATACCAGCTTCCGCTACGCGAATCATTTACTTCAAACGTACCTGGCTTATACACGAGCCAAACGGACCACATCACACCATAAAATAGGAAATAACATTTGTACAAGATCAGGTCAAAAGGTGGATATGGTTGTGGGTGGTGGTAATTGATAGACTGAAAATAATTTAAGAATAATAAATCGTATCATAATAGTCTATAAGTCAGAATAAAGCTTATAATAAGAGGAATATAGTTATGCGTAATTTAGTTACTGAATAGTTACAAAATAAGAACAAATATAATATTAGTTCATTAATGGTTCTCAGAAGTTACCGATAAACACTACCCACTTGTTCCGCTGTTCTCAAACCTTAGTGATTGGTTTGTCTTTTGTGTTCATGACTGGTTGCTCTGGTTTACTGTATTCTCCAGCTAGTTTCTTTGTCATATCATATAGTTGTCTCATTCCCTTCCGTTACAGTTTCTTCTGTTGTTACTGATATGTCTTCCATATAATCCTGCTCATCACCATTAATGCTCTTCTTCACACGTTGGTTTGCTTCTGTGTATCCAGACTGAGCTTTAGTTTTCTCTGCTTCCAATTGGTTTCTATTGATTACTCGCTTATTTTTTTTCCTTTATTGAACCAAGTCCAGGGTCTCCATAGAGATCCATTCCTTCTGATAATGCTTCTTGCGGCACGCTAAAATTAGTGTTTCTCCAATCCCTTCCCGCTTGTTCTCTATAGCAGTTTCCTCTTCTTTGAGCAGATCTTGTAAGGCTTGAAACCTGATGCTGAAAGTTATCTTGAATTCGTTCAGTATGTCAGTATCTCGATGGAAGACTGTAGTATACCTTTGTAATGCTATTTCTCCAGTTATCCAGTACTTTTCTTAGCTTCAATTCTACCCTGGTAACCACCAGATGGTGGTGTGAAACTATGTCAGTTCCTCTATTGGTTCTCACATCTTTCGCTGACCTTCTGAATACTTCATTGATGCAAGTATGACCGATTTGGTTCTCCGTAGTGTGATCTGGTGAGACCCATGTACCTCATCATTCTCTTAGTTTTCTCCCAGTCCACGGTCGTCTCATGATATGCTTGTACCCAGTGTTGTTCATTCCGACCTCGATGTTTAGCTCTCCTATCAGTATGGTTAGATCCTCTTCCTAAGCACATCTCTAGGATCGACTGTAGCCTCTTGTAGAACTGGTTTTTATCGTCTTCATTGCTATCATTGGTGTGTGCATAGCACTGGACAACATGCATTGCGATTCTCTCCTCCTTTGTTTTGA